GCCATTCATCCTCTCCTTCCATTTCACTGAGTGACTGTGCTGGGACCTTCTACTTCTGGAACAGGACATTTTGTTTATGACCCATAGGTGACATGACAGTTCAAGAGGATCTCTATCTACCACCCCTGTGTTTTCCAGATCCTTTCTTTATGTGTCACTGACTATGCTGCTTCCACACTCCCACACACTCCCTCCTCTGCACCCCCCTCCCCCAGCACCCAACACTCATAGAGAGTGCAGAATGTGTGGAACAGCCCAGACTTGATCCCCTCCCACCTGTCCCGGGAGCATCTCCCTACTTAGGCTGCTTCCTGTGGTTGATTAGATGTGCTTCACATCTAGAAGGGAAATGACAGGCAGGATCATAGGGACAGGAGTCTGACAAGGATTTCACACTTAAAGGTGATGTCGAGATTTATCAGTGTCTATTTTTCTGCCAAATGAAAGGAAATACCCTTTCCGGTGGAGGCACAGCGGCAGGATAAACATGGTGGGAATGGGGAAGTTAACTGCCAACCCCACCACACAGAGGACCAGAAAACTCCAAGTTCCATACACAACCTCCCTTCCTCCTCAGTGCCCTTGACCCCTACCCGCCCCCACCTCCCCCCTCCTTCATGTCCTCTTCTTCCTCCTCCACTCTGCTGGCTCCCACTCTCCCCTGCACACTCATCTCTTCTGCCCAGTTGACTCAGCCTTTTTTTCAGTCTGTCAACACTTTTGGTTCCTCTGTCTCCACTCTTTCAATCACTAACCGCTCCTCCCTTCAAAACACACACACACACACCCTGACTTTAACTGGACCTGAATTTACTTAGAAGACAAGGTATTACTTGCTGCTCTGTGTGATTAGCTGAACTGGTTCACACAACCATGAGAGTGTAACCCACTTTAGCTGGCATCTGGCTGTTCCCTCCTTGCCCGGGATCTCATTGAGGGCAGAGACAATGTCTGTTTCTGAATTCCCAGCAAGTCTCACAGTACCTCATGTGCCAGCTGCTCAGTAAACATTTGATAAATGAATGGAGTTATTAGTAGATGGGTGTATGTGGGAGGGGACTTTTCCACTTTCTATCAGTGATCTCTGTAGAATTAAAACTAAAGTACACTGGGTCCCCTACACTCCTTGGAAGCAGGTAACTGAGTTCTTACCCACTTCCAACCTGAAGTCTTCACAGCTGGATACATTCCTCAGGAAAGGCGTACATTTTGTTTTGGGCTTCCTCTCACCTTACTTTGTTTTGTTTTTGGCTAGTTCCAAACCATTCCATCTTCAAGAACTAAGGCTATACAACAGCCAGGGACAATCCCTCTCCCCTGACATTATGGGCTGCAGCCAGTGTAACTGGGAGGCCTCACCAAGATATGCCAGTCCAGGTGTGGGCTATTCCAGAATCAGCCCAGCCCAGGCCTCTTGAATCAGTCTCTGTCTGAGAGAAGACTCAGGAATCTTCTCCAAAGGCTCCAAAGAATGGCCAGGCAGGTTTGGGACCCCCTGGCTAGGTCACTGTGCTTATGAGGGTGGATTACAAGTCTGTGCATCAAGAGAGACCTTGGACCCTGTTCTGATCAGCTGCTGGTACTGCTCAGAAGAGGGCAGGGCAAGAGGGCTCTACCCACCTGTGGTGTAGATGGAGACTTTCATCCAGGGATGTCTCCTGACCCTTCTCTTCCTCACCATTGTCCCTGCTCATCTCCCACTCAGGCCCACGCCACTTCTAGCTTGGACGGTCCTGTCAAAACTGACTATAGTGGAGCCATTTTAAAATGGAGTCAGAGCTGCCTTTCCAGAGAAATTGCTCTGCTGTCTTGAATCTTGGACTGGGCCAAACCTTTGGACTGGGCCAAAACGACAATTGTTTTACAAGCAATTGTTTGAGAAGTCAGCAGGAGAACGGACATCCTGATCACAAAGACTGAGGATTGTGGACTTTCTGAAGATAGAATCAATAGTCAATGTTTGGACGAGACTAGCTCTCTACCTTCAACTCCAATTAAAATTCTTTGTAATACAACCTCCCTTCTTCAACTTTAAAACCCCTGACTTTTACTCCCTAGCAGGACACTATTTGGATTTTTACCTGAATCTGTGCTCCCTGAGTTGCAATTCTTTGATCCCAAATAAACATTTTGCCTCTTAAACTGGTTTCTGTTTTTGTAGGTTGACAGTCCATTCCCAGATCATTTTCAATGCCCAATTAGCTTCTTAAAGCACAGCATTTCAATGTTTTCCTGCCTCCATGCTCCTGCTCCCTTGGTGCCTCCACATAGACCGCTCTTCCACGAATATTCATATAGAAATTCTATCGTTTCCTCAACAGCAACAGTAGTAGTAGTAGCAACAAGAACACCTACCATTTGCTGAACATCTCTTATGCATGTGCCAGTCACCAAGTCAGACATTCTACCTACACTGTCTCATTTACTCCTCCCGATAACCCTGTGAAACAGATGTTATGGTACCCACTTTACAGACAAGGGACTCCAGGCTTGAGTGTCCAAGGTAAACACAGCAAGTAAGTTACAGAAGCGGAAAACAAACCACGGTTGGTCTGACGCCAAACTCTGCTTTTCCTACTTTGCCACTCTGAGCCCAACATTCTCTGCAAATGCTACCCCCCATACTAGATCACTGCCATCAAACGAATTATTTTCTCTTCTATCTCCCATAGTATTTTGTGACTCTTTTTTGAAAGCTACATATTGTATTAAACTGTAAAGAATAATACTAATGGACTATTATTTATATTACTTATTTTTTGTGCCAGAAAAATATAGATAAGACAGGGCAAGTCTATTATCATCTTTAGGAAAACCACTCACGTGCATGTTTCAACTTGTATGTGCATTCAAATCCCAAGGCCACCAGTTCTCAGGTCTGTAACCTTGAACAAGTTACCTAAATTTTCTCTTTATTTTTTACTGATCAGTATAATGAAGGATAATAACAATAGTGTATGCTTTATAGGCATATTGTGAGGATTAAATAATAGAACTGTTCTTGGTAAGTAGTCAAGTTTTAATAAATGTTTGCTCCTGTTAACTATTGCGAAATATAAACGTTATTGTGGTAGATGGTTTTGAGCCCTTCTGTAAAAGAAAAAGTGTGTTTTCTGTCTACTTATTGCTCGCTGAATACTTCCATCCTCCAAATGTGTGGGGTTCTTCCCCTTACCAAGAAATCCTCCAATTCTTGAGGAACACCAGCTGGGTGTCCTACGATTTAACTCAATTCTGAAACTACCCACGTGGGGTTAGCATCAGATCCCACAGATTAAAAACTCAGTCCCAGAAGACTGCGATGCCCCACCAGTCCCCCACCTCCACTTCAGACTCCAGTTGAAAGTCAAGGCCCATATGTTCCCAACACGTTCCCCTCCGGTTCAATAATGTGCTAGAGCAGCTCACAGAACTCAGGGAAACAGTTTATTCACTACATTACTGGTTGATTATAAAAGGACACAACTCAGGAACAGCCAGATGGAAGAGATGCAGAGGGCAAGGTGTGTGGGAAGGGGTGTTCAGCTTCCATGCTCTCTCTAGGCACCCCTCCCTCCCAGCACCTCCATGTGTTCAGCAAGCTGAAGGTTCCTGGAACCCCATCCTTTTTGTTTTTGTATGGAGGCTTCATTACGTAGGCATGATTGACTACTGTTGGCCATTGCTGATTGATTCAACCTCCAGCTCATCACCTCCCCGCTCCGAGGTAGGCAGGCTGAAAGTTCCCATCCTCTAATCACATGGTTGGTTCCCCTGGCAACCAGTCCCATCCTTTGGTTATCTAAGAGCTTTCCAAAAATCACCTAATTTCACCTTTAATGCTCTGGAGCTATTTCAGGAATGAAGGGTAAAAACCAAATAGTGTAATGAAAGATGCTCCCATGCTCTAATAACAAGTAATTACCAGAGTTTTAGGAGCTGTGAGCCAGGAACCAGGGATGGACACCAAAATATACATTTCTTCTTATATGACAATATCACACCCTCTTTGGGGGATCATTACCTTTTCTTGCCCCATTGATGCTAGGCTTAACCATGTGACTTTCTTTGTCCAATAAAAATTAAGAAGCAAGATGCACAATTTCTCAGTAAAAGCTTGAACAGACATTGTGTGGTCTGCCACCTTCTCCTTGCCTTCTGCCGCAAAACTGGCATTATCCCTGCTAGGGACTGTTTCATCAGCCTGGTACCCAGAACGAAAATGAAAGGAGCCTAGCCACAACCAGGGTGTGATGGACAACTCATACAAGTGAGGAATAAAGCCTTGTTTTTATAAGCCACTGAGATTCGAAGGTCATCAGTCATCATGGTATAACTTAGCCTAGGCTGACAGATACAGTTGTTAAACTAGATTTACAGAAAGCCTCTTATTTAAGTATTTGCCTGTTCCATCATTAGTCTCTGATCCTCTGTAGACTTAAGCCATTAGCAATTTTTACATCAGCCTGGCAGCCCACTTCCAACTGAAATACCTTTGGAACATCGTCTTATAGAAATCAGATGACTCCAGAGTCTCCGGGATGTCTGTTATCAAGTATCTGTCATTTCTTCAGAACCCATGGCATTTCCAGTTTCTAAAGTAAAGCCCTATTAACAAGATTTCCTAACAAAGCGTATGCATAAAGTGCATAAACTGGGGCTTGTCTGGTGACTATTGCGCATAACAGCTGTATTAGTTGGTTAAGCTGGTCTGTGGGGATTGTAGAGATGCTTGAAAAGAATGTCTGGGCCAGGCTGTGCTACGAGGGAAGCCCCACCAGACCTTCCACAGCCCAGGCCCACTCGAGGGCTCTTCTCAGGCTAGGCTGGCTCTCTGGTGAACCTTTACTTCTACCCAGCAGGCCCATGACGTCGACAAGATGTCCTGATGTTCCCTGGGCTTCTTTTTCCTCAGACTGACTCCAGAGTGGGACACTGTCCATCTAGCTCCCAGAACTTTCCTTGCTGCCCCTGAAGAAAGGCCTTCCTTCCTTTTATTAGCCTTTTTTACTGCTTACTTCAATTAAATAGGTAAGGATAAGAAAAAAACCCAAGCTTGAGTGAATTAAAAAGTTCCAGGTTCTTCTTAAGAAGTCATCCAGTTGAAATCACTGGTCCACAGTCTGTGACTACTTAGATGGATAACTACTGGGATTTCTGCTTGCCAAATGTCTGAGGTTGTTCCCGCAAGCTCCCCTCCCACCCTTTGGGACCTCCTTTCTAGGGAAAGGCTCTGGGAAGGCCCCCACCCCACCCCTTCCTAGCAATCTGGCCTGCAGAGCCAATGTGGCAGGACTACAGGTTCCCTTTTTGGCCTCGAGTGCACTTCTTAGGGGCTCCCGGGAGGGCTGATCAGTACTGGGTGTACTCTCTTGGGGAACGTTTTAAAGACCACTCTTTATCATACCATGAAATACCTCAGACACTTAAGGAATACGGTAGGGTCACATCTATTGAATAATGTTGTGTAACCTTGGCTTGCTGAAGGTAGTCCTGGATAAATAAGTAAATTGATAGTGATGACGATGGTAATAACAACAATAATGACAACAACAACACCCGATGCTTATTCAACGCATACGGTGTGCCAGATCCTGATCTAAGTGTGTCTGGCACAGCAAGATAAGTCCCACCATCATCACCATTTTAGAGATCAGGAAAGGCAAGTAGAGATAGGATAAGTGACTTTAGCAAGGTCTCACAGCTTGCAAGTGGTAGAGCTGGAAATGGAACCTGGGTTGCATGACTCCAAAGTCCATGCTTTTACTCCTTGCACGATGCTGCCTTTCATTTTTCATCATGTTTTCATCTATGTATCCAACTCTAAATATTCCCCTTCTGAAGGGGACTTATGGATGGATGGCGATGTCAGCAATATTTTGGGTAATTTACTGACATTCCCCACGCTGACAAAGTATAACAATAGCTGCTGTTCATTGAGCATCTTCTTGTCTTCTCAGTCACATTGACACTTTTCCCAGGTTAATTCTATCCTCATTGTAGAATCTAGGAGCAAGAAAGAAGCTCAGCCTTGATAGAGCCTAGAAGTGGAACCTGGAAGGTTTTCAAAACCTAAACAGTTTTCTCTTCTCTCTTTTACACAATGGCTTCATGATTTTTCTTCTTCAGAGCAGTGTTCTGGGCCTCCCTGTGACTATGAAAAATAAAACAGCCACTCCACAGACCTCAGGTTGGCTTGAGGGAGGCGCCAGCCTTCATTCACAGTGCTGTGGTGAGAATTTCACAGGAATTAACTCATTTCATCCTCATAACAACCCTCTGAAGTAAATACTTTTACATCATCAATCACCATCATCTTATTTTACAAATAAGAAAATTGAGGCCCAGAAGAGTTAATACAGATTTTTTTGTTCAGAAAGGGAAGGTTCAGGATTCAAACCAGACAGTCTGATTCCAAAGGTCATACCCTCAGTCACAACCCTCTGAATCCAAAGCCCAGATTTCCAGGAGGAAGAATCTGATAGACTCAGCTTGTGGCACGAATAGCCCTCAGGGTCCAACGAACTGTACCAGGCAGGTGGGGTTATATGGTTCAAACATGGCAGCTGACGCCTAGGAACCAAGGGCTGGGGTGTGGGAGGAAAGGGAATAGCAGTTCTCAGAAAAAGTAGAAGATTGCATGTTGGCCATTTACTCAAAAAAAATTTATACTATGTCTTGTGTGGTACGAGTTCAGATTCCTCACTTACTTATGAACTGATTGAACATTAGTGGAGTTAAATAACATGTTCCAGGCTACACGTGAGACAAGACTCAAACACAGGCCATCTAATTCCTACACCTTATTATAAAACACTTTCAGAGGAGGATGGCAAGGACAATTGAGGGAATATATTACATAGCAGATTGTATTTTCCCAAAAGCGTTGTTAACAAATATCTCCTACTTCACATGATCTCCTTAAAATATTAACTTTGACATTTCCCCTGTTGAGACAAGGGAACCATAGTCCTCCCCATGGATTTGGGAGGACTTGTGTAACTATGGCAGAAGTGACACTACAGGAATTCAAAGGTAAGGTCATAAAAGCTGATATAGGTTATGCTGGTACTCTTGAAATGCTCTCTTGGAACCGAGCCACCATGCCGTGAGGAAGCTCAAGCCTACGCATGCAGAAAAACCATATGGAGAAACCTTGAAACTACCTAGAGAAAGAGAAATGGCTGGCCTGCTCTGGCTATTCCAGTCCCCCATGGTTCCAGCTCCAGTTACCATCTGACTGTAACCTCATGATAGAACCAGAGCCAGAACTGCCCAGATGACCATTTCTCAAACTGTTTTAAGCTGCTAAGTTTGGGGAGAGTGTGTTATATAGCAACCATATCCAGAACAGCATATTCTGAGGAACAGAAGTCTTCAGAAGGACATGAGAGCCATCTTCAAGCGTCTGAAGGGCTGTCATGTATAGGAGGAGTTTGACGTATGAAGCTCTAGGAGGCAGCACTAATATTAACCGTTGGAATTTCCAGAGAGGCAAATTTGATTCTTCCTGGAGGTCTTCTCTAATTGTAGAACTTTAGAACAGTTACCCAACGGTGAGCACTCTGTCACCAGACATACTGAAACAGAGGGAAGATCACTTTTGGGGAGGTTGTAGAAGCGTCTGGAAGACCCCAAAGGTACTTTCCAACTCTAAAAAGATATAGTTCCCAATGAGTTAAGTCTAAAACTGTTTTGAAGAAGAAACATTTCATTAAACCTTCTTAGAAGAGGTGAGGACTAATTTGAGCCTTTAAAGATGCAGAGGGTTGGGAAAGGTGAAAAGCAGGAGGGACCACACAGCAAAGAACCAATGGAAACTGTTTATTTAACCAGCAACACCAATTTAATCATGCCCCGCTCACCTTAAGACTTCTTCTTCTTCTCATCCATTCTGGTGTGTTATGAACCATCATCCTTCCAGACACTTTCCCAGTCACTTGCAATCTTTTTGCCTCCATCAATCCTCATATCCCATTGGTTGCTAAGTTGTTCCACTCTTATCTCCACAATAAATCTTGCACCTGTTCCTTGTGTTCCATCTGCACTGTCATTGGCTTTGCTCATGCCATCATTGCCTCTTATCTGGACGACTACAGCCATCCTCTGGATAGTTTTCTGAGTCATTCCTCAGAATGCTCTGAACGTGTCATTCTCTCGCTCTAAAACCAAAACCTTCATTCAGTTGCCAATGCCTTTAGAATAAAGTTGAAATTTCTTACCAGGCATTCAAGGTTTTCACGATCTGGCAGAGAATGAAGGAAAAGAGAGAAGGGGAAAGGTGAAGGGAGAAAGGAGGCAAAGAGAGAGAGAGATTAATTCCTGCATTAGTTTCTTGGGACTGCTGTAACAAATTACCACAAACTGTACAGTTTAATACAACAGAAATTTATTCTCTCTCAGTTCTGGAAGCTAGACGTCCAAAATGAAGGTGTTGGAAGGGCTATGCTCCCTCTGAAGTCTCTAGGGAAGAATCTTTCCTTGCCTCCTTCTAGCTTCTCAGAACTCCTGGAAATTCTTGGCATTCCTTGGCTTGTAGCTGCATCATTCTAATCTCTATCTCCATCTCTTCACACGGCCTTCTTCCCTGTGTTTGTGGGTCCAATTCTTCCTCTCTTTTCTCTTATAAAGATACCAGTCATTGGTCTTAAAGCCCCTCCTAACCCAGTATGAACTCATTTTAACTCGATTACACCTGCAAAGACCCTATTTTCAAACAAGGTCATGTTCACAGGTACGGAGGGTTAGGAGTTGAAGCTATCTTTGGGAGACAAATTCAACCCTTTGTAATTCACATTGGTGGAAACTACAGAACACTGGCTTAGCACAGGCATGGAAACTTGCTTGTGAAAATGTCTTGGATAAAGTGAAGAATTTTAGGAACAGGGGAGGTAATATCAAATAGGGTAGGCCAGTTTACCAGGAGGGCTTTTTTGAACCATGGAACAGCATGCATGATCAAAGGATAAACTTTTAGTTACGAAAAATCAGTATGGAAGCTGGCTACAGGACATATTATAGGAGGTAAAGCTGAGACGTTCAGGTGAAAGGATGTCTCAGTGGCCCAAGGGTGAGGACATAGACCCAGAATTAAATTGTTAGACCCAGAGGGCTATTAATTTTGCCTCTTTTGTTTAGCAATATATCCCAAGAACCTAAACAGTGTCTGTCACATAGGAGATGCTCAGTACACATTTTTTGAATAGATGAATGGGTGGACGAAGTAAGCTTTGGTAGTGGGAATGGAGAGGAAGGAAAGATGCCATAGGCCTTTCAGAGGTGGACTGAATCAGCCGGCCCTGAAATAAGGTAGGGGTGAAGAAGTCACATCAGTTGAGCATCACCTAAAGTCAAGCCCATAACTTGGCACCTGTTGGAGACAGAACCGAACCTCTCTCCTACCACCTGCCACACAGTCTAGCATTCTACCCGACTCCCCGCTATTTTCCCCACATAGAGAGTGCGTCTCGGAGTACAGGATGCATAACTTTATTCATGTTCTTGTGTGTCCTCCAGAGCACCCTGCACACAGTAGGCCCCCGATACAACGTTCAATGAGCTTATGAACAATCGAATTTCCACACTTAAGCAAAATGGAAAGCTTTCCCCAGATCTAAACTCCGGATTTGAGACTTTTACACGTTTCAAAATCCCTGGCACACAGTAAGCACCCAATAAGCACTTGTTGAACCAAACAGAATAAATCAGATTCACCGAGTTCCGCCCTGGCAGCGAGGTCTGCATTTGGCAGCACGACAGAATCCATTGCTATTAAATTCTTATGTAAGAGTTAATGACCCTCCCAGCCCACTTGACATCTCTCCCACGACAGGAGAAGTGGAAGGGAAGGGAAAGGAAGCGAGAGCACTATTTACAGACACACACTCTTTCGGTGGTAGATGCACAGATGAATTTCTAACCTCGGGTCACCACCACCGGCTTAAAATACCGCTGCGGGCGGCGGGGGCGGCGTGCCGGCACGGCGGCTGAGGCGCAGTTCATCCCGTGGGGAAGGCCTGCCCACCCGGCACGCCCAAGGGCTCTGGGTCTGCGGGTGACAGCGGCCCCAGAAGGTGACTCGAGTTCAAGTCGGTCCCTGGGGGTCCCCGCAGGCGCCGGTGCAGGCTTGGCCGGGGAGCCGCCGCCCGGGCAAACAAGACGTCCTGCCCCGGATTCCAGCGGCCCCGGAGCTGCTCCCACCCGGGGCTCCGCCGCGCTCCGGAGGGCGCCGCGCGCGGCCGGGAGGGCCTCCCCGGAGCCGCGGGGACCCCGGCGGGCGGGGCGCGAGCACTGCGAGGCACGGAAGATGGCGGCGCGGCCGGGCCCGGGGCGGCCGCGAGGGGCCGCGGCGCAGCGCGCTCGGCTGAGCCGGCGCGGCTAGAGCGGCGCCTGGGCCCGGGCGGCGCGGCCTCCTCCCCCCGCCGCCGCCGCCGCCGCCGCCGCCGCCGCCGCCGCCGCCGCCGCCGCCGCCGCCGCCGCCGCGCCCCGCCCCGCCCGCGCCCGCCGCCCGCCCTCCCGGGCCGCGGCCGTGCCCCGCGTCGTGCTCCCCCGGGATGGCCCGCGCGCCTCGGCGCTGCCTCGCGGAGCACACGGCGGAGCGGCGGCGGCCGCGCTCGGGGGGCGCGCGGCTGCGGCGGCGGCGGCGCGGCGCGTGAGGGGCCGCCTCGGGCCGAGCGGGCGCCGCCAACATGTCGGATACCAAGGTAAAAGTTGCCGTCCGCGTCCGGCCCATGAACCGCCGAGGTGAGGAGCTTTGCGCTCGTTTGGATTCGCGGGCGGGCGGCGGGCGGCGGGCGGGGGCAACTTTGGAAACTGCGGGGCCGCGGGGCCGGGGCGGCGAGCGCGACGCCGGGGCCGGGAGCCGGGGAGCCGGGGAGCTGCGGAGCTGCGGAGCCGGGGAGCCGCGGAGCCGGGGAGCCCCGGGCGCCCGGTGCGCCGGCTGCCGGCTCGGCCGCCTCCCGGGAGAGCCCCGCGCGGCGCGGATGCTCGGCTTGGCAACGTTCGCTTTCCCTTTTGCTTTCAGAACTGGAACTGAACACCAAGTGCGTGGTGGAGATGGAAGGGAATCAGACGGTCCTGCACCCTCCTCCTTCTAACACCAAACAGGGAGAAAGGTAAAGCGCGTCCCGAGCGGGCGGGCAGCGGGAGCCCACCCCGCGGTCTCCTCCAAGTTGGAGGCAGGAAAATGGGAGTGCTCTTTCCTATTGTTAGGAGGACGGCTTCAAGTTTGTCGCACGCTTCTGTCTGAAGCTGTTTCAAGTCCAAGTTCCTCTCCTCCCTCTGCCCCCTCCCTTGCGTCCCCTCCCCTCCAGTGCGGCCTCGGGCAGGACACCCTGGCCGGAGCCAGCACCAGTCTGCTGTGTCCCCGGCGCAGAGAGCGAGGGGGCCGGATGGGACTCTAGAGAGGATCAGTGCAACGGCCACATTTTACAGATCAGAAAACTGAGGCGGCCAAGTGACACCCCAAGGCCTTGTTGTTTGTGGAACCCACTGCACTGTTTGCTTCATTTGGCCGAATTGTTTAGGGACTCTGTGTGTCAAATAGGGAGAAAACCCCCGCAATAAAGCACAACAGGCTTGTACGATGCAGGCTCAGGCCTGGACCATTTAAAATCTATTTTTTGTTGTTGTTGGGGCTGGGTTGAGAGAATGCCTGAGTGTAATGCGCTGATTTTGATTTTCAGGGAAACAAAAGTAGTGTCCTGAGCTGTGTAGACACTGGGGGGATGTTTAAAAGGGGGCTGCATTTACTAGATGGCAACATATTTGCATTTGAAAAGTGGTAACTGTTGGATCCCTATTAATTCTGCTCTATTCCACGCAGCAGTATGGGAAAATGCCCTAAAATAATTTGAATATTTGGCATTTTTCTGGTAAGCCCCCGAGAAGAAAACGGTTGGAATTCATTCAATATAGCAATTCAGTAGCTTGTCAAAATAGAAAAGAAAAACGGGAGATCTGGCAAAATTAATTCAATTCGGACATGAGTATGAGTTTATGTTTCTAAAAGTCACCTGTTGATGGATGGGCTACAATTTGGTTATTTTTGCTCTTCAGAGATTTTGACTGAAGAAAGACTGAAGGTAGAGTTTGTTACTTTATTGCTAAGGGAGGTGACTGCCTGCGTTCCGTACTCCTGGGGTGTTCAGGCTCAGTTTTGCTAAATTTGAGGGAAGAAATTATCAGGAGGTAAGATTGGGGATTCTTTGCTTTTGTGCTAAGGCTAGCAATTTTTACCCAGTTTGCTAACTAAAGCAGATTGTTGTGGTGATAGTAAATAGCTAAATTATATTTAAAATGTGTGTTAAATGCTTTTCAGTAATGGATGGATCCTTGAATAATATTTTCAGCTACATTTTAAATATTTATCGTATTTTAGATACATTTGTAGCAATGTGGTTGTATATTTCATGGTGATAGTAAGGTCATTGAGTAAATGAAAATATATACAGATTAAATTAGAATGCCCACATCACCAACAATTTTTTCCAAAACTGCATATTTTTATACTGTTTTGGAAAAAAATGCTATTGGGTCAGATTCTTCAAAGCAGTCTGGGAAACAGGTAGAATATTGTCACTCCTGTTATGTAGCTGCTGTTTCTGTTTTCCTTGCTGGTGTGGCACCTGCTCCTTGTCACTCTTAACCATAAGGAGTGCTACTGTTAGCTACTGTTTAATGAAATGAAGCTTTGCCGTTTGTGGAGAGAAACATTTAATTTTGTGGAATTCGGATAGAAATTATTAATGTAGACAGTGGGTTAGAAATGCTAAATAATCAGTTGATCATTTTTAGGGCTGCCACTGCCATTGCTAATCAGGATCTTTTAAATAAAGATTTATAGGGTGATTTTGGAATTTATCCATCTGCTTGCTTATTAGGATAGCCCCTTATTTGGAGCTATCAGAATAGCATTGAAATATGGGTGTTCTCTTGTTCTGTTCTTCTGACTGATCTGATTCTTTGAGTGGTAGATGGGCCCTTTCCGTGGGAATCTGCCTGGGTACCGGTCATTCACTTTACAGACAAACTGAAGGCAGTCAACACACAGTGCTGCTTGTAGGTTAGGATTACTGTCTTTGCAAGGATGGAGACACCAAATGCATTTTGATTTTCATTATGCAGCTTGGTTTAATATTTCTCCGCCAGGTTTTCTCTTAAAGCAACAGTGCATTTAAAAATGGAAACAATTTCTCCTTTGGGCTCTGGGTGGATTAATTACAACGTTTCATGTTATGTTTGCAATTTATTTCTGTTACTTGTTTTGGGATAGAGCTCAGAGCAAGGTGGGAATATTATTGTTCTTACCTAGAAGTCCAAGGTTTGAAGTGTAAGAAGTCTCTAAATTAACATTGACAAGCCTATGTCAAATTGAGAATTATTTTTCTGAAAATTGCAAGAAATTATTAATGTATTAACCCTAAATGGAAATTTTCAGTTACCAGGTGGAAGTTTTCAGTCCTACCAGTAAACACAAGCAAGAGTGCATTGATTTCCAGGAAAAGAAGCAGACAGGCTTAGCTTTCATAATTTTCCCCGTTTATGGAATCAAAGCCAAGACTACACGGTGAGAGCTAAATGATCTCAGGGCTTCTGAGGGTAAAGATGTTTGTTTTACTGCAGAGGTCCAGGTTAGGTTAATAGTTGACATGTATACTGATCACCATTCTGAAACATTAAGACATATATGAATTTGTTTCTTAAAGTAACATTGCATTTCTGTGCAGGAGACCTTTATGAAGTTCAGATTATGTGGATACCATGCTCAACATGGTGGATTCCAAGATAGTTACTGGCTCAGTAAACTAGGCCCGTGCCAGAGGCTCTCACCTTTGAGAGATGTGGGAAGAGAGTGGAAAAAATACTTAAAATACAGTGTTGTAGATTATATAGATCTTACTTTTGCCGTTACGTGTACTGTATTATTTGGAAATTACCTGTTTCTTCTTCTGTCTCCACCTCGAGGCTGTGAGCTCCCTGAAGGCAGGTGCCTTGTCCTACTTACCTTTGTGTCCTACGCTCAGCAAATGTCTCTACTGCTTAGCTTCCCAGTGTGATGGAGCGTGGAAGAGGGGCTGTGGAAGTGACCCAGGGTCCTGGCAACCTGCAAAGACAGGTGGCATTTGTGCTGGTCCTGTGGGTGCTAAGCGTATAGGTTCATCTTTGCAAGATCCGAGGAAAGTCCTTTGCAAAGAAAGTGAAAGCACACCTGCCACAAATTGCTTCTGATTGTGCTTGTGTGTGCATGCAGGGTGTGGAGTAGGATGCGGAAGCAGGGCAGTTCAGGAGGGGGGAATAGAATGAGAACTCTTAATTTGCCAAAAGGGGTAATAGTTATAAAATCAAAGTATAAACAGGTATATGTTGAAAAGTCTTCCTCTCTCCCCTGCTGTCACCCCTCACGTCTCCAAAAAAAGGGCAGCTAAGTCATTCATTTCTTCTGCATATTTTCAGATATACCAACATATTGTTTATATGTATTTCAACAAGTATCTTTTTTATCTTTAAATACCAGGGTGTTAAGCCTCATTCATTCTTTTTTTACTCCAGTATGGATGGTAGTGGTGGTTTTAAAAATATAAATGAGTGACATATGAATGTGACCTTTGTAACTTGTGGGAAGTGAAGCTTTATCATGAAGAGAGTATAATGGAATTTGCTTTCTATAGAAGTTTTTATTCTTGGTTATTTTATGTAAGTGAACTGTAGGGTAAACATCTAAAGCAATGTGCATATATAACCTAGCTAAGTTGAAAGAACAAGTGGGCTAAATTTGGGCTGTTAGTAAAAGAGTGTCAGAGTTTTAAGTTCTTGCCCTTTCCTCCCCATTTTTTTCCATCCTGCAAGGTGTGCAGTGTCCCTCATAAAGTGTATGAGGGATGGTCAGTGGAAGAAAGCTACATCTCGGTCGACTGCATATATGTTTTCTAGTTTATGCATTGCATGTTGCAAGTTTTTATTTCCAAACTGGCTTTCCCTCCCATTCCAAAATGCTCCTAGGATGGGTCCTTCTACTCAAGTATCTCTGTAGACCAGAAATTTAAATATTAGTGAAAGTCATGCAAAATTAAAAAGACCACCTGAGAAGCAGTAATATTCCACATTATAAAATTGGATGACTTTGAATTCTGTTCTGTTTCCTGTGTTGTTACTCTTCTCTCTGGATTAAATAGTACAGAGTTGATTGTAAGAAAGCAAAGAGTATTTAGGTTTCACTAACATAGGAGTGAACATTCTTCATGCATGGTATTAGTGGGATTTTAAAGAGCATTATAATGGAATATGTTCGTTAGCTGTCAACATTTTCCATTTCTTTGCATTGAAATCTCTTACTTTTAGAAACAACACTAAAAGTAATTATAATGCAGTGTAGAGTAGTGATGTAAAAATTATTTTGTTCACAGTCCACAGTTAAAAATACATTTTATATCATGAGCTGTGTATGTGTGTGAAGGTTCATGAAAAAATTTACTATGTGCAGCATTCCTGTTATTTTCTATTTCCTTCTGTTCTAATTCATTTTAGAAATGATGATTGTGACTTACTGAATTAATTTCACAACCCACTAAGAGGTCACAAATTTATAATTTGGAAAATACAAATTTAGTCGGTAGGAGGTTAGATTCTGGACCTATATCTATTTTTAAATCAGTGTGCATAGCTTAAAGTATAAAGTACTTCTGTAATTTATAAAGGCTATGATTAAAAAAAAATCCTCCTCTTCATTTCTTTACCCAGAGGCAACTACATATAGTGATTTTAGCTCATTCTTTTGGAATTTCCCTCTATATTTCTGAATAAAAGAAATAGAACTGGTAGTGCTAGTTTTTTATTTGCTTTCTTTGTTCTCTTTCTGTGCCCTATTCCCACCCCACCCCCAAATTCTTCCCAATATATCTATATAGTAATTTTGATTGTGTCAAGATTTAGTGTTTACATGATTTATATGACTATATAGAAGACTGTTTACAATTGAAGCATGTACTCTTTTACGATCTCTTTTCCAGTCATACGAAACTTTTTGTTTTCTCTGGAGTTAACGGTTGTTTCTATTTTTTCTTTTTTCTTTAATTTGCTTCTGTTTCTGTGTATTTATCCTTAATTCAACATTTAA